GCGTCTGTGTGTGTGTGTGTGTGTGTGTGTGTGTGTGTGTGTGTGTGTGTGTGTTCCTCCGCATGGTAGAAACATGAAAAACAAACCCCAAGAATCAGAAGGCAAATAAAAAAGGTCCATTATTTTTATTAACCATTTGCTGATTTTCAAACCGACTTCATAATATTGGGGGTGGCTAAATCATGAATTTTTGAATGCTTGATTCTGGCAATCCTGCAGTCCAGACCAGGGGTGGGGAACCTCCAGCCACAGGCTGCATGCAGTTTGTCAGGGATAGCTGCTGGCAGGTTGCCAGATGGCTTGTTTACCTGAGCATCTGCAGGCATAGAGCCCTGCAGCTCCCAGTGGCCACAATTCATTGTCCCTGGCCAACAGGAGCTGCAGGAAATGGTGGCCCCGCTCATACCACTTTCTGCAGCCACAATTGGCTGAGGCAGGTGAACCATGGTGACTGGGAGCGGCAAGCAGCAGTGCAGCCAGGATGCCAGAAGACCCCCACCCCTGGTCTAGACCTATAGTTTGAACTTTACAAAATCTGCTTTCAGGACATGTAGTTTCCTGAGTGCAGTGGGAACTTTAAGGAAGCTTGTCCAGGATAACACAGAAAAAACACTTTAGAAGATACAGTAATTCCTCATTTTACACTATAGATATGTTTCAGTAAATGATCGTATTAAGTGAAAACGTGTTATGCGGGGTCAATTTTTCCATTGAAAATAATGGAAAAGGTGGGGGTTGCGTTTCAAGCGGTGGTGTCTGTTGGGACCGGGGCATAAGGTTGGGGGAGACAGGGGACTGTGTTACAGCAGGGAGGGGAGGTGTTTGGCTCTGGGGAATGAGAGGGGAGGGGGATTGGGTTGGGAGTATGCCCCTGTGATGGGTCTGCCAGGAACCACACTGTGTCTGGCAAGGAGGGGTTGCCAGGAAATGGCATGTAAGCATGCCCCGTGACAGGTCTGCTGGGATCCACACTGCGTCGGGAGAGGGGGGACTGCCGGGGACCGGTGCGGTGAGCAAGTGGGGGCAGAGGAGAGGGGGCAAGGCGTCCAGTAAGGGGGAGTCAGCAGGGAACGGTGCAGCAAACCCTCCACCGCTTTGCAGGGAGTCGGGGGAAGCCCCACGCAGCCGCCAGCAACAGGGCGGCTGGGGAAATCGTGTTATTCCAGGGACGGTCGTGTAATTCAAAAAATGTTCCCTAAAAAAAAAAATCGTGCTATCGCAAAAACATGTTAAGCGGGCACGTGTTAAATGAGGAATTACTGTATAGAAACAGAACCCCAGTATTTTGTCACCCTGCTACTTATTTTAAAAAGTAAGTCATGGTGTAATCAAAGTATCAACAAGGTACTTACTATACAGCATAACAGATGACCCTTAACTTTAAATCAAATTTTCAAAGCCTGCTATCTGAATTATCTATGCAGATGCCATGCTTGTCCACATGAAAATAGTAATTAGATACTGTTTGTTCACAAAAGAAGGTCGATCACTTTAAAGTAACTGCTGACAGTGACTGTAACTGTTACAGGCAAATCAATGTGATTAGAAGTCTAGCAATTACAGGCAGTCCCCGGGTTACGTACAAGATAGGGACTGTAGGTTTGTTCTTAAGTTGAATCTGTATGTAAGTCGGAACTGGCGTCCAGATTCAGCCGCTGCTGAAACTGATCAGTTTCAACAGCGGCTGAATCTGGACACCAGTTCTGACTTACATACAGATTCAACTTAAGAACCCCAGGCATCCCCAAGTCTGCTGCTGCTGAAACTGATCAGCGGCTGATTCCAGGAAGCCCGGGGCAGGGGCTTCCTGTAGTCAGCCACTGGTCAGTTTCAGCAGCG